GGATATCCTACAGCATCAAACGTTTATACGAGACCGGAATCATTCGCTTACGATGAAACTTAGTTGACTTTTATTTGTATTTCATAACCATTCAACAAATTTATTTTGTGTACATTATTATAATCACTACTGAGTACAGTAATAATCAACAATTCAGAAACGCAGCATGCCGAGATTTTTGTGTTCGTTTTTATTTGAAACTTCGTTTATTTAGAATATATTTTCGTTACCAATAAAATAAAAATCTCTCAGTCAATCAGAAACCCGGATTCATGCCTTCGAGGAAGGTCCCGTTTGAACGCTCACATCGGTTTTTTTTTTCGTTTGGGGGAAAACTAAAACTGGTCGCAATTTTCGAATAAGAATGAGTCGGCAATTTTTAGTGGAGTCGAAAATTTGGAGGTAAATAAAACACCGAAACCCGGCAAATAAATAGCCAATCGAATTTTTAGAGGGGTCGAAATTTTGGAGTTTTCACGGTACTAATTATTCCATTTCAATGAAACTTAGTACAAAGATGCTCTAGGACAATGTACAAACCTAATTAGTTTGGGGTAAAAATCTGTTCATATTAATTCCCTAATAAGCATAATAATTCATAATTTTTTGGTTCTAATCACATTTCAATTAAACTTGGAGACATAGATTTTCTGTTACATTGCGCAGACCTCATTAGTTTTACACTCAAATCTGGTCATATTAATTTTCTGATTTGCATAATTAGTTTTCAGCTAAGTAATTTCGAATTATATTTAATGTGTCTCCAATACTCTCGGCACATGGGAGTTCTTTCTAAGCTTTCTTTGATTTCCTAATTGGTTTATTTAAAAACAAAGTAACAACATTTTGTAAGTTTTTAGTAGTCCATTTGGGATAATTTTTGGAAAATGATAGCCCTGGAACAGGATTTGGTCTGTGCATCTTGGCCTACTGTTAATTCCAAGCCATGTCAGCTTACTTAACAGTTACATTGGATCTGTCTGAAGGTGACCTCTATGACCAGGTGGCCTTTATTTGAAGCTAGTCACTAAGACATATTTGACTTGTATTCAATATCATATATAACACAGAATAATGTTTTTCAATACATTTGTTTGAACTTAGACGAAGTAGAGTTTGATACATCAGTGGATAGACGTACTGGTAAACCAATAGCCTGTCATATTGTGAAGCTAAGACAAGGCAGCGTATCTGCAGAAATACTGAGTGAACAAAGGGTCATGGGATCCATCCTTACTGAACCAAAATACCCATCAAGAAACAAAAATGTATGTTCACTCAATAAGTACTTCTTCGATAATTCACAGATTTTATTATTATTACCATTTGTATTTATTTTGATACTTGTTGAAAACTTAAGGATATGCTTTTCATCTTTTTATCTATCTAGTCTTTTACTACTATGGAGATGGGAAAAGTGTCTTACGAAATGAATGGGGTGAGTTTCTTGTCTTTGAGTTTTAATTTAAGGTATCAGTTGTCACAAAGTGCCATGTTTGATATAGGTCCTTTATGATGTCCATTGTATACGTGTTTAGTCACTTGAACGCACAATGACTGATGCTTTGAACAGTTTTATTATATTTGAATTTTCAAAGAACAATGATTATGATTGTGTTAAAGAAGATTATTGTTCCATAACATGGTAATACACTTACTCTGTAAATTGGATTATATTGTTATGCAAATGGTCCACCACACTGCCTTGTACTTCCTTGGGAGAACACTACACATTAGGTTTGTGGCAGAACAAAATAATTTCAGATGTTCAAAGTATAGTGGAATTTTTCTCTCAAAAAACACCAGCATGTTGAACCCATTCAGTCACTATCTTCGCACATCATAGCTCACATATCCTGCTACAAACATTTGTTTCTCTGTTTTGCTTTGTCTTTGTTTCTGCATTCATCATCTAATGTAAGCAAAAGTGATAACTCATGTTAAACAAAATCATTTTTTTCTAGGAGTGCTTTTTCCTTTCCTTTGGGATAGAAGACTATGAGGATACTGAGAACATGGAACTCAGGAAAGGAGACAAAGTATCATTCGTTTTAGCAACTGATAAAAGGTATTTCTTAATAATAATAATAATAATAATAATAATAATAATAAAGTGGTAAAATTAGACCTAAGATATCATTGTCTTCGTGTCATTCAAAATAATCTGAAATTGCTTTCAAAATTTAAGGTATTTTTCAACTTCTGGTTTTGCAAATGAATTTACCCAGAAAATTAAAGTTCAAGCCAGCTTTGTTTATCTGTAATCTTTCATTCAATACAATAAGCTTGGGATATTTGACTGACATAAATAGTAAGCTTTAAGAGGATAGGTTCCTTTCCTCATAATTCATGCCTCAAACTTAGATGACCTGTGTTTGCAGTTCATTCCTTTTACTGTGAACAAAAAAGCAATCCAACCAGCAGTATTACAACATCAAAAAACAATGTAACATTAGATACGCTAAGAGAAATAGTAGTTCATGGTTTTATAGGCTTTTGTACAGATAATAATGGAGAGGAGGTTTTTTAATGGTGTTTAATTCAGACACATATTAATATTTGTAGTCTGATGAACAGCAAAAATACTTTCAATTACAGAGGCTGTAAAAATACAATAATAACCTGCAGGAAAAAACCTGCAGAATAAACATGTACACATACTTTTATAAGATCAGTTAATCTTCTTGAATGTAAGTTGGATTATGCCAAGCACTGATGTGGGTGTTGTACTATTTTGTTTTACATCTAGGCATGGAAATGTACGAGCTAGAAAGATAGTATTGGAGGAACCTGCGCCACTGGATAAATATCAAGGTGTTGTATGCTCCATGAAAGAATCATTTGGTTTTATTGAGAGAGCAGATCTTGTGAAAGAGGTAAGACTGATTGACCTGGATCAACCGTTTGTTTTTGACTCCCATGTGCGAAGCACATAATGGGAGTCTTTGCAGTTAGTGTGTCTGTATGTGTGTCTGTATGTGTGTGTGTATGTGTGTCCGACTTTTCCACTGCTATCTCAAGAACCATACATCGGTTTTTGATGAAACTTGGTGCATAGATGCTCTGGGCCAATGCACAGATTTGATTAGGTTTTGGTAAAAATCCATGCTCGTTAATTACCTAATTTGCATGATAATTAGCTAATTTTTAGCTGTTCTATGACTGTTCCACTGATATCTAAAGAACCACTCATTGGATTTTGATGAAACTTGGTACATAGATGCTC